TCATGACCATTTGAAACCTTAGCGAACAAAGTTCGCCTCACATGTAGTTGCAATGGCCTACGATGGCTCACCTTGTTACACTAAGCCATGTCACTGAGACATATCATCACCCAAAGAAACTCTACTCTTAACACGTGACCTCAAGTAGTTATGAAAGGGACATAGCCAGAAACATGCCACATGAGAGTTCTAAGGGAAGGGGAAATCCCAATCCCAAAAGATCATCATTGGACACATGGCAAAATCTGGATAAGGCTTATTCGTTAGGTACCCAGAGAATTGTGATCCACTTCCCAAGTAAGAAAAGTCCTTTTTTTTGTATGTTTCTCATTATAGCCTTAGTGATTTCTCTATAAAGGGAGAGACTTGAAGGTCTCCACACGAGATCCATCTCAAGAGTACAGAGAGAGTCCTTGTCCCCCAACCTTCTTACTCCCCTCTTTTACAACACCCTATTTCCCTCCTCACTAAGACCACTCTTACTCACACAGATCTACAATCATCTTTTGTTCTTCAAGCAGACCAACATTCTCTACCATACCACCCCACTTACATAGAGTTTTCTTTTCTTTTGTTTCTCTATAGGTTTTTTGGTAAGTATGTTCGATTAGGTGACTACTATTCTTATTTCCTTTAAAAATATACCTCCTATTTGAGAAGATGCCATTAATTTTGATTGTTGATCTTTCAAATCTTCATTAACTTTTCCCATTGAATTAGTTGTTCTTTCTCATGTGGGCAATTGCACTTGTAGTTGGGTTATCTCCAAAGTTCTAAATCTTTTTTGTTTTTTGAATGGTAGCATGTTATCATTGCACTCACATCTTTCCCCTTCCAAATCGGTCATGCCTTGCCATCACTTTCCTTTTATTATCTCTTTTCTCAACTTCTTTGTCAACTTCTCTCGCCTCCCTTTTGCCACTTCACTCTAACTTTCACCCATCCATGGTTTAGCTTTAATACTTAAGGACATGTTGAGTAGTAGGTTAACCCCATGCATCAAATGTTTTTCATCCCTATATCTCTCCATATCTTTGGTTTGTCTTTTTCGATCTTTTAGATTTTCAATTACTTCACCTTTCATCATGTCTTCCATATTTCTCTAGTTTGAGTTATACTTTCTTTATTTTTCATTGAGCTATTGGATTCGCTCTCAAATTCTCCCTTAATTTCCTTCATTCCTGTGTTTCCATCTATCACTCCTCTCCTAATAGAACTGGCGACATTGTCCATTGCATGGTCAACATTTATTTTTTTTATTGTATCTCTTTTCATCTTCCTCATTGTTAAGTGGGCTTCACATGGAGTTTCCCGTCTCTCTTTCACTAGCTCCCTCTTTTACCATTGAATGGTTGTCATTGCTTTGACATAGGTGCATGCTAGCTAGATAATTTTTTGATTTAATGTTCAAATTCAAATTTGAATTCAATTATGGGTTTTGATAAGTTGTGGAGTTTTCATTCATCTTCTCAAACAGTTTCAAATCCCCATCAACTAATTTTTTTTGTCATTTTCCACTTTGCCATGCACGTTGTGTCTATGTTCTTTAGCGACCAACTAAATATTTATTCCATACCTTCTTCTTCATTTAGGGATTTTGTTTTGACTGTGCTTTCTTTTGGCAGGATATCATCATTTTTCAATCCATTGGGTTCTTTGTTGGAGCCTTCTACTCTTATCAGGCCTATTTTCTTTTTTCAAATGGTTCTTAACTATCTGCGGTATAACATGTTCTAATTTTGGGAGTTTATCTCCTTTTCGTCTATGAACATGCTATTTTTCACATTTAGATTTTTCTTCTTTATTCCAGTATCTTTTAAGGTTACCCCTAATGAGGCTGATACTAGGTAATCCATCCTCCTCTATTGAAGATGCTTTAAATTTGTGCTTAGGGGTTTTATTGGTCTTTCTCTTACCTGGCCTGGGTTCAAAGTTCAAACATATTCCCTATAGTGTGAGAGGGAGTAACTTTCTCTCTCAATCATTTTTTTATTGTTGTTTGTAAAACTCTCATCTTCTTTTTCTTTTTACCTTTTATTCCCACCCTTCCTTGATGAAAACTGCCACTAGAAACCTACACAAAAAAAGCTACTAAGCACACAAGGGTTACAAGAAAGCACTAAAATCAACATAGACAGAAGGGAGCTGGGGTTCTGCGTTAAGCAAACAACTAGATCATAACTCATAACTCCTAAAAAGCAACATCATATAAAACACAAAAAGGAAACTCAAAAAAAGAAAAACAGGCTAAAAAAGGAGATGGCACCAATTGGCAAGTGAACCAAACCTAAGGCTCAGTTTAGTAGGAGTACAAATACAAATATGTACTTTGCAAATACATATAAAATAATATAAAATACAAGGTTTTGCACTCTACAAATTTGTATGTGTACTCCTTCCAAACTGAGATTAAGAAACTAAAAACTAGTCAAAAGACTAACTCAAATAGGCTAGGGGTTGTTTGGTAAGTCTTTTTTGAAAGATCTTCTGGAAGCTCTAACAGTCAAAAGACATAGTGAGTTTTTGCATCAAGATCTTGACAACTTGAAGACTATTTGGCTAAGGTATGTCTTTCCATGTGAAGACGAGTTGAAAAAAAACAAAAAGTTCCATTTGGAGCTTCTTGAAAATAACCCAAAACGGGCTTCATGCGTCTTTACGATGCAATGTCTTTTGGCGGCTAGATCTCCTACAAACCAAATAGAAAAAGACCATAATGCGGTCTTCCAGGCTTCTAAATAGCCAACAGTTTGCATGGAAAGACACACCTAATGGGGCCTATGAGGGAACTTCCCTATTTAAACAATGCATTTTGAGATCTTTGAACCATCTTGCTCGAAATGTCATCACTGTTCCACAAGGATGCTACCTAAACTACCCATAAGGATGCTACATTGCAACGCAACTTTTTAATATTTGCTAATTATATCATGGTAGTTCATACCTCACATTAATATAAATATCTTATGCATTTATACCTTATTCAAAGTAATTTAAGCCCTATATTTAATTTTATTAGTGTATTTGTGAGATCTTTGTGAGTTCTCCTAACATATCTCTACGCATATCCTAATTATTCCATAGGATCCATGCATATGCCAATACATATCTTAAATTTTGATTTTCTAGAGAGATTGGAGTCAACTAAGTGAGTCACTTTCCATATAGGGTTTGAATGATATCATAAAACTTGTAACCAAACAGGTACAATAAAAATGGTAACTAATCAGGTGGTATTTTTCAAAATTCATGGGGGGTTTTTGGTAAAACTCTTCTAGTATCATGTCTTTCTGACAACATAGATTTTCCATTCCATATAACAATTACAAACCTTGTTTTTCTGCCACATTCTAAATCATATATGATTACATTCTATGCAGCCATATGCCCCACCTTTTTTTGGATAGTTATTGGAAACTTTTGTATAAATTAAGATAGGATAAATTTAAGAGAATGTTAGGAAATTGAGGGGGAATTTCAAACAATACCCCTTTTAATATAAAAAACTTAATTATAAGAGTGGGCTTATCTTGTGCATGTGGCAAAGTTATATTGGGGTTTCAATTTTCCCATAAATAGAAGGTGTGGGGAGGGGGGAGAGGAACTTAGGGTAGGGCAACAAATGGATTCAAATCAAACGAATTTACATAGTTCAAAAAATTCATTTGCTAATATTCATTTTTGGAAGGATTCATTTGTTAATATTTTTAATTGATTCAAATCTTATCCATTGGAATAAAATAAAAAGCAAATGTACCAATGTATCATCAATAAATTAAACTAAAAATAATCACAAAATTAAGAATTCAATTACAATGCTTTTTATTAATATTGGATGAAAGTTAAATTTAGATCCTAAACTCATGTTAAAGTTTATTTGCTTTTAATTGATTCATGTTTCACGAAATGTACTTTCATGTCTGAGAGGTGTACTTAACATCATGTTTTTTTTTGGTAAATTTACCATCAATCACTTTTTCATTTTTTCTACTAAATAATGTAGCAAATAGCAAATGCATTATAGATTTTTCCAAACAGTATATATATTTTCGATAGATAAACTAAAAATGGATTTTGTATTTTATCTTTACCATATAATGCCATACTTCCCTTGGCCCCAAATCCAACATCACTGATCACCATCTGCACTTCTCCCAACTGGTTGGAAAGGTTTCCTACTGATCGTGATGAAGACTTGGGATTGAATCACACCTGCACTTGGGTTGGGGGATGGGCTACCCCCATTATGTAGCCCTTTAAAATGTATAAAAAAAAGTATGATCCTCACCTACAAAAAAAGTCTTATCACGAATTAGGATAGTAAAAGTGTGAGGTGGGTGTGAGAAAAACTCTATGAGGACCACATCTGGACTCTCCTCTCAGAGACTAGATCTGCTCCTCATATCGACCTCACAGGCACATCCCACCGTACATTAAGAACATCTCCTGTAATTATCTCACAATACAATATCAGGGTGTGCTGTGGGGCATTGTGGGGCGCACATGTGAACTCCCTCTTTATTTTCATCACACTTGACTAGAACCATATTCCATCCGATTTCATAAAAAAAAAAACAATATTCCATCTGATTATAAATTGATCGAATTTGGGTTCATTTCAATTCGAATTTGGACAATCCGATATCATTTGCTGCCTTACATTTTTTTTTTCCAAAAGTGGTGGTTGCGGGAATTGAACGAACCAGTTAACACACTAACAAGCCAGTCCTCGGTTGGTTTTTTTGCCTGGTTAAGATAATTTTGTTGCCACGTGTAAGTTCCATTTAGCCTCGCGCTCAGATCATCATTCAAAAATTTAATCGACTATTGTACTGACGCCTGCTGTTAAATTAGCATAAATAAAGGTAGAAAGAAGGGCCGTGCGGGCGACGGCCCAAGTGTCCGTGGCCGGGGTGGCGTCGTGGACGTCGATGTCGAGGCATTAATTAAACGGTGACCAAACTTGGTAATACGGAACGTGAATCGCATTAAATGATCAGCTAACGGCCGTTTTCGCTCTTCATTTTCTTGGATTCTCTCTCTCTCTCTCTCTCTCTCTCTCTCTCTCTCTCTCACACACACACAGTCTCTCTCAGTCTCTCTCTTCTCTTGATCTGCCATTCCTCTTACGTAAGGAAGAACCTCACCTTCTATGATCCTTCGTCTGCAACTTCAACTACTACTACTGCTGCGATTTGTCCACTAGTCCGGGTACCTCTCTCTTTCACTCTCTGGAGAATGTAGATGGTGAACTGGGTAGATCCGGCTTCTTGGGTTTAGAGGTTGAACGATTTGGGAAACCCCAGGTTTTTTGATCGACTGATCGGGCGTTGTGGGTTGAGAGTTCAACCCTAGACGTTGGTTTTGGACTAACTTGATAATGCTGCCGCCTTTGTCCTGTTCTATTTTTCTGGTTCTGTCCTTTTCTAGGATTCTACACTCAGATCCTTACTTCTTACTGAATGCACTTTGTTTGTTTGAATTTTCTTTAACTCTTATCGTAATTCTAATATATATATTTTAATTCTTTTTGTTTGTTTTTTGGTTGGTTGGTTGATTTTTTTTTTTTTTTTCAATTTGATTGCCTTGGTTGATTTTGCGTGCTGGAATTTATTTTATTGCTGTTTCTTTTTGATCCTTTTCTAGGTAATGCAAATGAGATCAATGTTTTAATATGTTTAACTCGTTGACTAGAGTCCTTTGCTAATGTTAAATTTGAGCCGCTTTCACTGTATTGACTAAATTCAGCTCAACTTGAAGTATTTACTCCATTGGTATTCTCGGAAATTTAAAATGGGGAACTTATTTGGAGTGAAAAAAGGAGATGTGTAACGTCTTGGAATCTGAGTTCTGTATTGAAGAGCAGATCATATTTTGTATGATCAGGGTGATATGCTCCTTGTGCTTATAGAATGTTCAAGTTCAAGACAGTTTTTTTACCTAATTGTATAGAAAGTAAAGTTGTCTCAATAGTGAACACTCAAAACCTTCACAAGTTCAGAATATGTCCTACTTTCTTCAACAACAACTTTCCCATGGGATATGATAGATACTCACCAAAACTATTTAACAAAAAATTGAAAAGATAGCACATTGTACACTAGATGATTGTAAACATGTTATTTTCTTAATTTCCAAAGAACATTGGAAACTGTAATACTTTCTCATCAAAATTTCTCAGTGCCAATGAAACAACTGAAAAATCAAAGGAAAACTCAATATTCACTTCATTTGTTTGAATGGGAATGGGGAAAACTGTGGAATTTTCTTACCGTATTTCACAGTGCAAAAGGAACAATGAAAGATCAAAGAGAAACTCAAATTCACTTCACTTGCTTTTCTTTTCTTACATTTCATAATAGCCAAATGTTTTGCATTTTGTTGCCCAAACCCTACATGAGAATTCCACCCCAGTATGTGATATTCTTTCTTCCTTACAGGAAAAATAAAGAAATAGATAATAAAAAAATCCTTATGAACGATTTATCAAAAAAAAAAAAAAATCCTTGTGAACATATAATACCATTTATTTTCCTGGTTTAATTTCACTCGTTTCACTTGATTATTGCTTTCCGGATTTGATTGGAATAATGGATATATTTTGCTTTTAGTGTCATTTCAGTGAATCTTTACAAGATTTTATTTGAACAACTTGGATTGGCGAAACAGAATACATGTAGCCAACCCCATATAGTTGGGATAAGGCATGGATGATGATGATTTCTTGCATTTTAATGGATGATAACAACCTTTTCTCTTGATGGCTCTATATATTAATTGTTATTAAGTCTCAGCTTCTTTTAACTCTTTTCTGCTTTATACAAGCACAATGATTTCCTTATTGAATTAGGTGTAGTCAAATGGTTCTCATTTTTCCATTTTAATCCTTGCTTGCATCTTTCTTTATGGTGGGGTTTACATGTGAGCAATATATATTTTTCTGATTAGCTTCTTTAATAAATTGATGGGCTACAATTATGTGTTTTGATTGATCTTTGACAGGATGTAGCATTAAGGTTATAATGTATGAGACCTTTGAGGAGCAAAAAGGTGGAGAGCCCTATGACATTGTCATGTCAGCTTTTTTTAGTTCAATTAATGAAGAAAGCTGAAGTTCAAAATGCTAGATAATCAATCTGGAGAATTTAGTGAGCTTAATGATGATATGGCGGTTCAGGAAGTCTGTGCAAATGGACTTTCGATGAAAACTTCTGAGGTTGAAGCAAAACTAGATGAGGGTAATATTCAGGAAGCAGAATCTTCACTCCGGGAGGGTTTGTCACTTAATTTTGAGGTGAGCTTGTTCCCTATCAAATGAAAATAAGGTTAATTGTAGATTTTTTGTTTATTCATTGTATTGTTTCTAAATTCCTGTCAGTAACTTCTTTTTTTTCTTCTATGGATTTTAGAAAGTTTATTTAAGCTAGGCCACCAGCTAAAATTTTTCTTACCATGCTAGCTCATTTTATCACCACAGAGCGTGGTTTTGCATGTTTATGTATATATGTATATGCCTATATCATTTATAAAATTTTCTAAATATTTGTATTATCATGTTTAGCATTTATTACAGCCTGTTCAGAAGAAAAGAGCTCTCCAAATGTTATCCCTCAAAATTCCCTCTTGCCACTAGAAACTATTTCTAATCTATCATGACTTTGTTTAGTGGTTCTTCCTTTGTGAAGCTATCAATGAGCAGCTGCATGGATAAAATCTACCTACTAAGTTGCATTGCAACCTCCTATTGACAATGATGGCTAATTTGTGCACACTCATTGTAAGAAATATGAAAGGCTGGATTTGTAAGAGTATAGTTGTGAAAATGTTGAAGGAAGATACAGTTGGTCCTAAGATTGCACAAAAGGAAATTAGAATGTGGTGATATTTGTAGTTGTAAAAGGCAAACTGCTGAAGATTGATATACTTGAATTTATAATTGTTGGTTACATATATATATTTTTTGATTGGCATGATTGTTGGTTAGCACCAAAAGATAAATTTATGAACCAGGTATTTTCATACCCTCCTTTTGAGAAATGAATTAAATGCCCCTATGTGTCTGTTTTTTTGTCATATTTTTAGTAGGACCAAATGTCAAGTTTGCATAAAAATCAACTTCACTTGTAGTTAGTTGGTAATAGTGTTCTTGAGGAAAGAGAAATACATGTGCAATTAGGATGCCAAGAATATGTTTAGTGATAGAACTTTGCCTGTGTAATTTTCTCTCTGCCTTCTCCTGGCTCTTGTGCATCTTCTCATGTATTACTGAATAAATTCTCAGTTAGTTTTGCTCAAAAAAAAAAAAAAAGAAAACATGTTTGACCAATAAGTCAAAGTTTGTGCATGCATGGCATTCATGGTTCAGAAGTGATGTAAAGTAATGGATATTAACTTCAGGGGGAGTTTATTGTGGTATTTTGAGTTTATGTTCTTACCTTGCTCAAGGGTCTCCAATATGATGTTTCCCTTGACTTTGATTTTTATGGTGGTTCAGGGTAACCGTCAAGTTGTTGAAGGTTGGGTGAGAGAGGGCGATCTGGATCTTTAGCATCCAGAGTGAAAATCACGTCCACATGGGTGCCAAGATCAGGCAGTTCTTTTGCCAGGTCTTTCATGAGAGAAGGTGTTGGAAGGGTTAAGTTTTGTTAGAGATCTTCCCTCCCTAGTTGGCCATTGCACTTTGTTTGTATGTTTTGAACTATAGCCTGTTTTCCCTTGTTTCTTGCAGTCAGCACTGTCCTTTGTTTGGTAGGAAAGCTTGTTGTTTGCATATCAGTTTTTCAATTAATAAGTCTCCCTTTACTGATAAAGAAGAGTCCAGCAATAAGTTGTCGTTAGAAATTCATTAATTTCTGCTAAAATGGTGAAAATATTTGTTGAATTTTCAAGAGATTCAACAAATATTTACACAAAAAGTAGATTAAAAAATTATAAATTTGACATTTCAAAAATAAAAAATAAATAAAAAAATAAAATATTGCTAAAATGGTACCATTTGCATCTCTGAACATTCCCTCTAAGATGATGAAATACTGCTAAAATGGTGATAAACTATTTGTTGAATCTTCAAGAGATTCAACAAATATTTACACAAAAAGTAGATTAAAAAATTATGAATTTGACATTTCCTGGCTTTGCTTTATCTCTTGAAGGGATGAATTATCAAGCAAAAAATCCCATATGTATACTGTATGGACTCTTTAGTCAAAAAACCTATTAGGATTTGATTGGTTGCACTTGATGCTTTGCTTGGTTACATTTTGGAACAAATTAGGAATATTGAATAGTACATATGAAGAGATAATTCTTGGACTATTAAAATTGCCTCTTATGTCAGTTCATGATTCATATAAACTACAGTGATTTCCATGGTTAACATGTTGTAGTTCATAATTCATACATTGTAATTCTACTGATAACTCTGCCACTCCTTTTCAGTAATATAATACATCATTTTACCTTTCAAAAAAATAAAAAAAAGATACCATTTGCATCTCTGAACATTCTCTCTATTTCTGGTAATCCTGGGTTATGAAAAGAGTTCCCATCAAAGTTCAATTTGATCTTGTTGCTATCCAGGGAGCCAAGATCTCTTGGATTCCAAATGATGGTTGTTCAGCAATGTAGTGTGTGTGTGTGTGTGTTTTATTTTTTGAAGGATAGAAGAAAAAATTTTATTAAAAAAGAAAAAGATTTACAAGTCATTGGATGTCAAGGGGACAACCCAGCTTGAAGTACATCTAGACAATCTGAAAAGTTTCTTCATTACAAGGTTGTAATTCCAAAATACCCTAAAAATTCTCTATCAAATCCTCCCTTCTGGCTTGATCAAACTCTAGCAGAACCAGCACCCAGTCTGAAACCAATGAACCCACAGCAGAAACTATTAGTTCCAGGCTTTTTGCTTTGTTTTCAAATACTCTTCTATTCCTTTCAGCCCACAGTGACCAGCAAATTGCAAAAGGAGTACAGCTCCACATAATTCTGGCTTTCTTGCTACCACTAATTTTCGGCCATCTAGAGAAAATCTCAGCAGGAGAAGAAGTTCCAGGTGAAATTTGCCACTTTGCACGAATAGAACAGGTCAAGCACTGTCTCCTCATCCATTTTGCACAAATAGGAGAAACTTGGAAGGAAGAAGCCTCTTTTCTTCAAAGCTTCCCTAACTTCCTCTTTTTCAAACCTCCTTTCTAACCACCTTGCTGAAGCCTCACTCAGTTGATTGGGAGCTAAGCCCCTCAATGACACCCAGCTCCATTGTCTACCTGAATACAGCCTCTTGTAAAAGTCCACCACCCTCTCTTGAATCTCTCCCCATGTTTCCACCTATTCCTCGCCCACTTGGATCCTTGTTATCAGATTTATCCTTCTACTGCTTGCAAAAGCATGGAAAAAGGAAAGATTTTTATCTCTTTTTAGCCAAATAACCCTGGATTTTTGTCTCCATCTAATTTCTTCCCTTAGGATTAAACTTTCTAACTCTTTCTTCAAAACTTCCCTTTCCACCTGAACTTCTCTCCTGCTGCCCTCGTCTTCTAATAACCTGTCGAACTTTGACAATTTCTCCAACACTTCTTTCTGTTCTCCGCTTCCTCAGCCACTTCCTTCCTTCTCCCCTTCAACTCCTCCTTAATTAACTGTAATTTATCCAAGACTGTCTGCCCTGCTGAGCTTGCCCTCTGCGCACCTCTCCACTTCCCCTCTACCCACTCCACAAAGTTTGGTTGCTGCAGCCATGTATTTTCAAATTTGAAAGGTTTGCACCTGGAAACTGATACAAAGTTCCTTAGCATGATAGGTTTATGATCAAACAATTGCTGAACCAGAGGTTCTTGGACCACTTCTCCCCAATGCTCCACCCAATCTCCTGAGAACAAGAACCTATCTAGCTTTCGAAGAATTGCTGGACATTGACCGATAGACCAGATAAATCTCCCACCATTTAGAGGTGGGTCGGTAAGTTCACTATTACAGATGAACTCATCAAACCTCCTCATCCCAACACTTATCCTCCCCTCCGACTCCCCTTCATTTCAAATCTCCTTCTTACAATGTTAAAGTCTCCCCACCCCACCCACCAAGGACTCTCCCATTTTTGTCTTAGCTCCCCTAACTCCTCCCAGAACTCCAATCTCTCTCCCTCCTCATTTGGCCCATAAACATTTGTGAGTCCCCACCTCCAATTTCCATTGGTTTCTTGTAGACAAACTAAAACTGAATATTTCCTAAACTTCTCCCCAATCTTCCTTAACACTCCTTGGTCCCATGATCCCACAAGATAACCAAGCCCCTTGAAAGGTCAGATGTGTTAGTTTTACCCACTCCCTGTCCTCCCACCCCCAGATTTCTTTATTTAGAGTTAAATTGAAACCTTCTAGTTTTGTTTCCTGTAGAATGACTACATCTGGTTTATGTGTTCTTATCATATTTCTTACTTGAGCCCTTCTTCTCCCTTTCTTCATCCCCCTTACGTTCCAGCTTAAAAGCTTCATTTCCAACCACCCTCCTGCTTGCCCCCCCCTCACCTTAGATATTGTCTTCTAAGCACTCCTCTTCTCCTCCATCTTCGTACCAGGCTATGTTTTGTTTTACCGCTTCTTTCCTTCTTTGTTCCTCCTTTTTCTTCCTTTTTTTCAAACTTCTCAAATGCTAATTTAGCGAAGCCTTCCCCTCCCTAGAAGAATAGACCAAGGGATTTACCTAATCTAACCTCCCTGTCCACCAATTTGTTAATGTTCACTTTTCTTGCTCTCCTTCTAGACTCTCTTTCCTTGAGTCATCCATAGTCTTCCTTGCATCCTCTCTCCCCCTTCCCCCCCTTCCACTTTGCTGTTCCCTTCTTCTTGTTGTGAAATGCTCCTAGGCTTCACTGCTTTTGGTTGTTTTCTCCCTCCTACGGCATTGGGATTTCTTCGTTAATTGCGTTAGTATTCAAATTTCTTAGGAAAGTCCGGTCCTCTCCTTCTACCATAGTTCTCAGGTGATAATCTTCACCTACAAAGTTCATAACCAGCTTGAGTGGGATGTTGGAGATATCCTTGACCTCCACCAGCAATTTGGCCATGTTGAGCTTGTCCCGTCTTCTGTTCCTGTTGTCAAATTTCATGAACTTTCCGTAGAGATTGTCGATTGCTTCAAATGTAAGGATACTCTAGCCATGAAGAGGTATTCCCACCACATCCAGCCACACCGCTGTCTTTCATCTGGTATTTGAAACTTCTCTTGTTGTAGGGTACCACCAGCCTAGTCACAGATCAAACTCCCTTTCTGACACTTTGACTCCACAGATAAAATCTTCTCGGCCGCTTCTCTGCTGTGAAACATGAAAAGAAAAAGTCCACCATTCAACTTTCTTACACCCAACACCCTTTCCCTACTCCACTCTAACAAAGCCCATACTTAGACTTTTTCTGCCTCCAGGTCGACACCCATGAACCTACCAACCAAACTTGCTGAGAGCACCTGCATCCTCCCGTCCATCTTCCCTACTTTCTTCACATCGACGAAAACCGATGACGGCGACATCATCATCCTCCTCTTTCTAAACTCTTTATCGTATCGAGGACGGCGACATCCCCCAACACCTCTATACAAAGCTCAACATTTCAAATACATTAGCTTTGTATCATATTGACGACGATGACATCCCCCAGCACCCGGAAGCAACCCAATTTTGGCCCCCTTTGTGGAGTTCAAATCAGCCCCCTGCCCCCCACAACGTCCCACAGCACATCTCGGCCGCTTCCCCTCTGTCACTTTGTGTTTTTTTTTTTTTTTTTTATCAAATAACTGATTTGCATTTATTCCAAACAAGAAATGCACAAAAAGTGTCTACATAGTGAGTTTTTATTTTCTTTCTGTTTCAAGTAAAGTGAGCCCCTTGCTGCTACCCCTACTTGGCTCCAAAAGGAGGAGATGGACTGGTGGGAATATATAAATGAAGAAAAGGAAGTTCAGAGATATGGCTCAAGGAATGGAAATTCTGGTTAACTAGATTAAGAGAGATGCTAATGGCTTGGCGGATGCTTTGGCTAGGTAAGGGGTGGGAAGAAATGATTTATTCTGGGCTATGTTGTAATGGTTTCATTTTTGGGGGTGGGAGCTAAGAGAGTTTATCTCCCCTCTCCTCGTATTTGCTTAATTATTTCTTAATGAAATCCATTCAGTTATTGATAAAAAGGGATAATATTTCAAATATCAAGGAAATGTGAAGAGATATTTGGAAAATTTTAATTATAGAATTATTTCGTTTCAACCCTTAGGAAATTGGGAAATTTTGCCATGTTTTGGGGAAACTATAAACCATGGGTCTTAGTTGCATTTGTTTACTTTTGATTGATGCTTCATCTGTGAAAGGTTCTAGCAACTCAAATTTCAAGTCAATGAAGCATCACTCAGCTTTTACTTTTCTTGGTTGATTTTTCTTAATTTTAATGGTTTCTTGGATAGTAAATTTGCATATCCTTTTGGACCTAGGTCCAACACACCTAGTAAAAGAAAATTTCTATGCTTTAACTCCAATCAATTCTTTTTTACTCAAAATATTATTTTTAACTTAAACTTAAATGTCAATAATACCTTCTGCTGCAACTCCTTTTAATTACATCATTTATAGCTACTTCCAGTCAAACTCATGCACTGAATAATGATAAATGTAGAGGTACTATGGAAACTGACTTTCTTCCTTTTAAGGTGGAGCTAGTGTGCACCATAACAACACAAGTAGGAGTTGGAGTTAGAGAGAGAAGAGAGACATTGGAAACTGAGAGGGGAAGGGGTGAGAGAGGGAAGAGTAAATTATTTCTATTTTGAACTTCTGAGCATCATAAGACTAAACAGAAAGTCAATTCTTGAACTTTGTGTTTCTTTTTCTCCCTTAATCCTGATTGTTTCTTTAGACGTTACTGAGTATCATCAAGTTTCTTTGGTAGTAGATATTTTATCAACCAAAATGGGAAAATCATCATTATAATCACCATCTAAGCCTTGTCCCAACTATATTGGGTTGGCTCCATGAATCCTGTTTTGCATTCTGTTCTGTTTAGAGCCATATCCATTGTTAAATATGAGCACTTAAATCATTTCTTACTACTTCAACCAATCCGCTTTTTGGTCTGCCCCTAGCCCTTTTAGCCCCTTCAACTTACAAGAGATCACTTTTTTTCTAATGGATGCTGTAGATGTACCATCAAAGAAAAAATACCAATCAAATAAAAAAAGAAAAAGAATAAGAATTGCCTATGAAAAAGGTTTAAGTTTTGTAATTTTTTTTTTCATGAGTAGATTCCTAATTTAGATGCACTTTATGAATGCTAGTTCTTCTATTTCATTACTGTAGTTACAATCTACTAGTCTACCTTTTTGTGTAGTACATGACAGAGGAAATAGCATTAACCCATATTTTGCCACCATAAATAAAAGAGGCACATTTTAAATATGATGGGTGCCTGTATTAAATTTTCAGGAAGCTAGAGCCCTTCTTGGAAGGTTAGAGTACCAAAGAGGCAATGTGGAAGGTGCCCTTCGAGTTTTTGATGGGATTGATCTTCAGGCAGCTATTCAACGGTTGCAACCTTCTCTTACTGAGAAACCACCTTCTAGGAGGAACCGCTCCCGCACTGAGTCATTGAACATTGCTTCTCAGCATGCAGCTAGCTTGGTGCTTGAAGCTATATACCTGAAAGCCAAATCTCTTCAGATGCTTGGGAGAGCAACTGGTATTGAATGTTAATCAATTACAGATTCATCATGTTCTTTTTCATCTGTGGTTCAAATTGTTTAATGTACTTAACCCAGTTCTTTGTTGTTGTTGCAGAGGCTGCACAGGAATGTAGAAGTGTCCTTGATGCTGTGGAACGGATATTCCAACATGGCATTCCTGATGTGTTGGTGGACAATAAATTGCAAGAGACCGTTAGTAAGGCTGTAGAGCTCCTTCCTGAGCTTTGGAAGCAAGCTGGCCATTATCAGGAAGCAATGTCTGCTTACAGACGTGCCCTCCTGAGTCAGTGGAACCTTGACAATGAGTGCTGTGCAAGGATTCAAAAGAACTTTGCCATCTTTTTGCTGTACAGTGGTGTTGAAGCTGGTCCACCTAGTTTAGCAGTCCAGATTGATGGCTCATATGTTCCAAGAAACAATCTAGAAGAGGCAATTCTCTTGTTGATGATTCTTTTAAGAAAGTTTTACCTTGGTAAGACCATATGGGATCCTTCAGTAATGGAGCATTTTACATTTGCACTATCTCTTTGTGGTCAAACTTCCATATTGGCAAGGCAAATAGAAGAAATCTTACCTGGAATATTTCATCGTTGTGATCGATGGAACACTTTGGCTCTTTGCTACAGTGGAGCAGGACAAAATGAATCTGCCTTGAATCTTTTGAGGAAGTCCTTACACAATCATGAAAAACCAGATGATCTCCTGGCACTGCTATTGGCTGCAAGGATATGCAGTGAAGACTCTCTCCTTGCTTTAGAGGGTGTAGGTTATGCACAGAGAGCAATTGCAAATGCTCAAGGTGTGAATGAACATTTGAAGGGTGTAGGTCTTCACATGTTGGGTCGTTGTTTGGGAAAGCAAGCTAAGGTTGCTTCATCAGACTTTGAGAGGTCTCATCTACAGTCTGAAGCTTTAAAATCATTAGATGCGGCAATTGCTTTTGAATGTGACAACCCAGATTTAATTTTTGACTTGGGGCTTCAATATGCAGAGCACCGGAATTCCCATCCAGCCTTGCGTTGTGCAAAACAATTTATTGATGCAACTGGAGGGTCCATACTAAAAGGTTGGAGATTGCTTGCTCTAGTTTTGTCTGCCCAACAACGGTATTCTGAAGCTGAAGTAGTTACCGATGCTGCCTTAGATGAGACTGCAAAGTGGGAGCAAGGACCATTGCTCAGAATGAAAGCACAACTGAAAATATCTCAGTCACTGCCTATGGATGCCATTGGAACTTATAGGTTCCTCCTTGCACTGGTTCAAGCCCAGAGGAAATCCTTTGGGCCTCTCAGAAGTGGTATTCCTCAGGTTAGATCTTATTCCTCTTAATTTATCAGATGACTGTTCGGTACATGATATTCTTTACTCGAAGGTATCATTTCCCATCTAAGTTAAATGACTAAATCATCAGTATGAGAATTAAATCATAGTCAATTGAGGCTTAGTTGAATTGAAATGAGCTCACTAACTTATTTAACAGAACCACTTGGATGCTTGGGAACATCCTCTGTTGTTGATTTTTTCCAGCGATTTTTCTTTAAATTTATTCATCATAAATATGTATTCATTAGCATATATTCATGCACATCTATGTCCGCCCATCTATACATTGTAATAGTAACTAATTTCATAATTTGTAAGTGTCTTTTCTTCTCATGATCATCTAAGCCTTTTTCCAACAATATGGAGTCAGCTGTATGAATCCTGTTTTGCCATTCTGTTCTTTTTAGTGCCATATCCATTGTTAAACTGTGAGTGCTTAAATCATTTCTTACCACTTCAATCCATGTCCTGTTTGGTCTGCCCCTAGCCTTTCTAGCCCTATAAATTGCAATCAGTGTTTTAAAGGTGTGGGGGGTGTACACCTAGAGGTGTGCCTCCAGGAGAGGTGCCCCCTAAACGCCTTGAGGCGTATGCTCAAGGCATTGATACCTCCGAGGTGTATGCCGCAGGTGCAAGAGGTGCACACCTCATATGCCATTTTCATGAGGGGTGCTAGAAGCGTAGGCCTCAGGCACACCTCGTATAAAAAGATAGAAAAACAAGAAAGAAAGGAAAGGGATTATTATGCATCTTTATTCTTCTTAATATGAAAGATTGTTATTAAAAATGAAGAAAAATGAGATCCTTCTTCCCCCTCCCCCTCCTCTTAAGGAGGCTTATGCCTCCTTGTGTTTGGGAGGCTTACACCTCTTACATTCTGAACTACACCTCACACCTCCAGGTAGTGGAATGCCTTGTGTCATGCCTCCGCATTTTAAAACATTGCTTGCAATAGATTACTTAATGCTGCAGCACCACCTGTTACAAGAAATTACAATAAAGGAGGAAGACAAGAGGAAGAGAAAAGACAAGTCGAAGAAGAGGATTTGAAATTTTTTTATTTCTCCAATCATGAGCATTAATGTGATAGGTTTTGAAAAGTTAAAGGATGAGTACCCTTCTTGCCCAAATTTTGGTATCATTTTCCTTGATGTGTAGAGTGATAATCAACACAATTATGTGGATTTTGTGATTCATGATGGTTACCTATGTAGAGGGATCTAAATTGTGTGTTCCCTGTACCTCATTGCAAGACTTTTCATTTGGGAATTACATGTTGGAGGAATAGCTAGTTACTTTGGTTGAGATAAAACTATTGCTCTTGTTGATGATAGATTTTATTGGCCATCTTTAAAGAGGGATGTAGCTAGAGTTGTGTCTCAATGTTGAACATGTGGCCAAACTGTTTTTTAGGGAAGTTGTTAGGCTCCATGGTTTGCCTACTTCAATTGTGTCAGATAGGGATAGGTTTGTCAGTTATTTTTGGAAAACATTGTGGAAACTCTCGGGTACCAAGTTGAAATTCTCTACTGCTATTCACCCACAGACTGATGGCCAAACTAAGGTTGTTAACCAAAGTTTAGGAGATTTACTTAGATGTTTAGTTGGTAAGCACTTGGGTAGTTGGGACTCCATGTTGCCCATTGCAGAATTTGCTTATAATAATTCAGTCAATTGGTCAACTGGCAAAACACCTTTTGAGATTGTCTATAGCTTTACCCCTTGTACACCTGTTGACCTTGTTCCCTTGCCTCTTGATGCCCGTACTTCTGCTTTTGTTGATTCTTTTGCCAGTATAAGATATCTGTGATTTGCATGCCAGTATAAGAAAAAAATTGCTTTAAGTAATGAAAACCAATGTTTTAACATGCGGAGGCGTGATGCGAGGCGTTCCAATACCTAGAAGTGTGAGGCATAGTTTAGAATGTAGGAGGCGTAAGCCTCCCGAACACAAGGAGGCTTAAGAGGAGGGGGGTCAAGAGGAAGAAGGAAGAGGAAGGGGGATCTCATTTCTTTCTTTATTTTTAATAAAAATCTTTTTTATTAAGTAGAATAAAGATGCATAACACTAGTTGAAAGGGGAGGTCTTGTTGAAACGGAGGCGAGCGAGTGAAGCAAGCGAGTTGGAGCGGGGGGGTCTGGGGGGGCGAAGCCCCCCAGCCAAAGGGGCTAGGGGCAGACCACTTTCTTTCCCCTTATCTTTACTTTTCTTTTCCTTTCCTTTCCTTTTTTTCTTTTTTTTTTTTCAGCCTTTTTATATGAGGTGTGCATGAGGCGTATGAGGCATACGCCTCTAGAACGCTGTTGAAATGTTTACTTTACATTTTATGTTTTTATTCTGCTTAGATAGGGTCTGTTTGGTCTGGTTAAAATAGCTTTTTTGTCATTGCTTATGTACTTTGACTACAACAAGGGCATAAGGGTCTTTTCCCTTTTAATTATGGTCTCCCTATATATAATAATATAAGCTGGCACTGCTAGACTAATTTTGAACTCTCCAAACCTTTCTCCTCTCTTCTCTCTTCTCTCTTCTCTCTCTTCTCTTCTTCCTTATTTCTCCTCTTTTCTTCTGCTAATATGGTATCAGAGCGGTTCTACTAGGTCTGAGAGCAGATCGAACAAGTTCTTTCTTCTTTATCTCGTTGTATTCTTCAACTGAGACCCGAGAAGTTGACCTACGACTGGTACAAGTTTGTTTTACTTCTTTTTCCTTTTCTCTTGGTTGTGTACCAAGAAAAAACCCTATGAAACAAAACTGCTGAATGCTGTCATAGGAATTGTGAGGTTCAGGCCTCTTTTTTGTGGATCGTGTGATCCTGTACTTGAGAATGGGATACTTGTAGGTCACGAATGACCTGTTTTTACCCTGTTTTGGTGTGACTCAACTGTTTTATGATCTCTCCTAGTAGTTGGTCTGTTTAGATGATTTGGAAAATTGGACTGTGACTGTTAAACCTGTGCAGTGCTGAAATCAACCTAAAAAATATTTTTTTTTGGAAAATTGGAGCTGGTCTGTGTTCAAATTGTGTCCAGACCGGAGTGTGTGCATGTGAACTGCATCTCTAGTGTGTTTTTAGGACTTTTTTGGGTGTCAGGAGTGATCTTAAGGTGTGTGTTGAAACTGAAAGTGTTTGTATCATGTCCTCTGAGAATTTTGTAACTTTTGGGATTTCAGGAGGTCAAAATGGAAGTAGTGGGGGGCTGGATATGTGTTTCCTCATGGCTGTAATTCCCTTTGGTGGAGTAAACTACCTTGAATGGTCTAGGGGAATTGAACTTTACATTACTGCTAGGGGGAAAGTAGGGTATATTAATGGTAAAGTGAAGGAACCAAAGACTGGAAGTGCTGAACATAACAGGTGGGACCAAGAAAATAGTATGGTGATGTCATGGCTCCTGATTTTCATGTTGCCACAAGTAAGGAAGATGTTTATGTGGGCTGAAACAGCTTGTGAAATATGGAAACAAGTGAAGTCTACCTATTCAGAGCAGAGGCACCATGCAAAGATATATCAATTACAAGCTGAATCCTCCACTTGCAAGCAGGGGGAGAGGAGTCTCTCGGTGTACTACTCAGATCTGACATCAATTTGGAAGGAACTAGATCATTATCAAAATGTGAATTGGAAGTGTGATGAAGATGCAAAGGCCTACAAATCACTTGTCTCCCGACAACGAGTATTTTTTTTTTTTTCTTTTGGGGTTGAATCCGTATGGGTCCACAATGGTAATCTTAGGAAGTAAGAACTTACCTTCAGTTCAGGAGTTTATGCCTTAGTTCAGTCTAAAGAGAGTAGAAGTGTGATGAATTGTACAGAGGGGGAGCCGGTTGCACTAGCAATCCGAGGAGGTACAAATTCAAATTTCGGAGGCTCTTTTAAGAAGGGTAATTCACGGAAGAGAGGATGACAAAGACAAGCTTTGGTGCACTCACAGTTAGAAGTCCAAACACACTAGAGACACACGTTAGGAACTCCATGGCAAGCCTAAGTGGGCTTAGGAATTGAATAAGAAATCAACATCTGATCAGAGTAAGAAGCCAAGCCAACAGAGTCAGAAGTAATATATATATTTTTTGATTAGTAACAAAAAACTTTATTAATGATGTGAAGATTTGTGAAACTTTAGATACAATAGGGGGAGGTAAAATGTCTTAATTCCCCTTCAACAGAATACAATGAAAGAAAATTAAAAATTAGCCCAAAGGATAGACTAGACTCCCTATTCACCCCTTGCTTGGCCAGCCCATCTGCAAATGACTTAGCAGTCCTCTTCACCCAGCTATATTGTATCTCAATGTCCCTACACAGCCAAATGAATTTTTTCCTTTCATTGTTATAGCTCCATAAACCATTGTCCTCTTCCTTTAGCCAACTAATCACCACCTTCGAGTCACCTTCCAGGACCAAACATCTGATATTTAGTTCCCTTGCTCTTTGGATTCCTTCCAGAGTTGCAAGGATCTCAGCCCTAAGAGAGTTTCCTTCTCCAATAGGGCCTAGAACAAGGCAGTAACAATCCCTTCCTCATTCCTGAATACTCCCCCAATTCCAGAAGGCCCTGGATTCCTTAAACTACTACCATCAAAATTCAGTTTTATAAATCCAGAGGGAGGGGACCAAGAGGGACTAAGAGTCCTCTTACATAGGGCAGAGATAGCTATCTCTTTCCAATTTCTTAACAAGTCAGCCATAGGAAAATCTGAGAACAACTCCATAGATTTTAGCCAATGGGCAACCCTTAAAAGTATTAGGTCTAATAGGTCTTCTAGGGTTCTTTCCTTGTCTGAAAAAATTCGTAAGTTTCTTTCTTCCCACAAGGACCAACAGACAACTGCCCTAATGCTCCTCCACATAATCTTCCCTCTCTTCTTAGGCCATCTGAAAAACAAAGGAGAGAACAGACTTTGGACACTCTTAGGGGAATTCCAAGAACACCCAAAGAGGGAGAGCCCACTCACATACAATTTTAGTAACCTTGCAAGA